AAAAAAAAAAAAAAAAAAGTGTTAGTATAGAGGCTCACCTGCAATCTCAGCACTTTGGGAGGCCAAGGAGGGAGGGTCACTTGAGACTGGGCTACACACTGAGACCCCACCTCTACAAATTGTTTTTTTAATTAGCTAGGTGTGGTGGGGCGTCCCTGTAGTCCTAGCTTCTTGGGAGGGTGAGGTGGGAAGATCACTTGAACCTATGAGGCTGAGGCTGGACTAAGCCGTGATAGTGCCACTGCACTCCAACCTTAATCCACAGTTAAGATACAGCTATAAAATGGAATATTTTGCAACAATTACAAAGGATGTAAGTGGGAAAGTTGACATGGAAAGGACATTTATTCTAAGCTCGTGTAAAGAAGGCCAGCTACAGAATTGTACCTCAGTATGTATGTCAATTTTGCTTACAAGAAAAAAAAAAAAGAACATGCTGGGCGTGGGTGACTCAGCGCTGCAATCACATTTTGAGGCTAGAGGTGTGAGGACTATTGAGGCAAGGAGTTTAAGACCAGCCCGGACAACACAGCGAGACCCCATCTCTACAAAAAAATGTAAAATTAGCCAGGCATGATGACTCGAGGGCTGTGGTCCTAGCCAGTTGATTGAGGGCTGAGAGGGGAGGATAGCTTGAACCCAGGACGTCGAGGTTGTAATGAGCTATAACTGTTCTTACTGCACTACAGCCTGGGTGACAGCCACAACACCCCTGTGCCCCCCAAAACATTTTTTTAAAGGCAAACGAAAAAACATTAAAAGTACACATTTGCAAAGACAACTATCTGAAAGGATATTCTCCAAGGGGTTAAAAGTCATCTGTGGACAGTGGGGCCATAGGTGTTTTCCTTTATTTTCACCAGCTTTATAATTAATTTTTTAAAGTTATTTTTAAATAGTCCTACCCAGTCTTCCTTACAAGTTAGGACCCAAATGCCACTCTCTTCCCCTAAACTGTCCGCAGTCCCCTCACCATAATAAGCACCAATGTCTTCGTTAAAATCCCGACACTTTGCCAACACTCAGCTGGGGAGTTGAACCTTGCTCCATCCGGTCCTTTAGTCCCTGTGTGCGTCTTTCCCCCTAGGAGCCTACTGAGCCCCTCCCAGAGGTCCCGTGTCTTCCCCGTACTTGCCCCACAGGCTAGATCAGACCCTGTCTGACCCCTGGGTTATTGTAAAACTTTAAGATCTGTCCCCTAGGTCTCGGACTAGGTTGAAGTAGGGTCCAAAGGTTAAAAAACACTGACACAAAATGCCAGGCCACGAACTGAGGTACTGAGGCCGACCTCTCTCCCTAGAGGGGAATAATCCCTGCGGGACGGTTCCGCCATGGAGCCAGGAGCGGGTCACCGCGCCGGCAGCCCAAGCCTTCGCCGGGCTCTGTGCGGCGGAAGCGCAGTGATGTTTTCCAGTAAAGAACGCGGACGTTGCACCGTGATCAATTTTGTCCCTTTGGAGGCGCCGTTACGGCCCACGCCCCGCTCGCGTCAAGTGACTGAGGACTGTGCTGGAGAAGGACGTGCCGTGCCGCTGGGTTCTGGGTCAGGGTGGTCGGTGGGTGGGATGGAGGCGACCTTGGAGCAGCACTTGGAAGACACGTGAGTAGTGCGCGCTTCTTCGGCCTGTTCTGAGGTCGCGGCGGAGGAACTTGAGCGGGACGAAAGGCGTGACCTGCGAGTGCCGGCCAGGGCGTCTCGGGGACGTGTCGCGACCCCTGGGACACGGGATGAGGGGACTAAGCCCTACCCAAGGGCCGCAGGGCGGGGCAGGTGACCCGGAATTAAAATCCTGCCGGGCAGCGCACATTCCCTCTTGAACGAGTCTCCTGGGCCCAGGCCACGGGCCAAAACTGCCTATCTCATTGTTGAAATCGTCTTTAGGGTCAGGGTTGTTCCGCACGAGTTTTAGGAAACAGGTTGACTTTTGGGAAGATTGTGCCGGTTGTGCAGAGTCGAGCCCTGCAGTGTAAACAGACGCGTATCTCCTTGTGTGTAACCTATCAGTTACTTGGTGCTTCAGTAGATAACAATCATCCTTCAAATTTTTCGAACGAGCAGTATCTATGTAAAATTCAAAACTGGAAAAGTATAAAGGGTACAGAGAGACACCTGCCTACCACCGATGTCCCTCAGCTTCCACTTACCCTCCAGGAGGTAACTTAAGAGTTTTTCAACGGCTGTTTTAAATGAGTTAGTACTAAAACATGCATTTTTTAACAAGAATGAAAACATCCTAGATGTTTTTCACGCAGTGTTTGTGGCCCTGCAGAACTCAGCAGTACACATTTTTTTCTCTCATCAGAGAGAAACTGGTTTATTTAAATTAATTAATTAGAACTCTTTTCTTTTGTTTTTTTCTTTTCTTTTCTTTTTTCTTTTTTTTTTTTTTTGAGACGGAGTTTCGCTCTTGTTTCTCAGGCTGGAGCGCAATGGCGTGATCTCAGCTCATCGCAACCTCCGCCTCCGGGGGTTCAAGCGATTATCCTGCCTCAGCCTCCCGAGTAGCTGAGATTACGGTCATGCGCCACCAGCCCGGCTAATTTTGTATTTTTAGTAGAGACGGGGGTTTCTCCATGTTGGTCAGGCTGGTCTTGAACTCCGACCTCAGGTGATCCATCCACCTCACACGGCCTCCCAAAGTGCTGGGATTACAGGCGTGAGCCACCGCGCCCGGCCCTAGAACTTAATTGTTTTCTTAGGGTGTGACAATGAAAAAAGATTGAGAAATATTGATTTAAAGCACTTAAAGAATGCCTGGTACATAGAACACCTGTGTGTTTATATTTATTTAAATCTTTTTTCTCCCATTATGTACTTCTGTGTTCCTGGAATTAGAATGAAGAATCCCTCCATTGTTGGAGTCCTGTGCACAGATTCACAAGGACTTAATCTGGGTTGTAAGTATCTCTCATGCCAACCATTTGGTGAATTGCACAGCATCTGATGTTGACTTGGAGCCTAGCGTGCTATTATTTTCTAGCTTTTATTTCCTGTTACCTTGCCAGTTCTTTCTGCATTTGAGAGAGATTATCTCCAAATAACAGTATCAGAAAATTGAAACTTTTCAGTTGGTATTTATGAAGGAAGATGTTCCTTTCAGTCCTATAGCAATAAATAGTTGTCTCTACTAAAAATAATATTTGAATCATTTTAAATTGAGTCTAGAAAGGACTTCAGATAATGGCTGTTAACCATTTATTGAGTGTATTCCATATGCTGAGACTGCTGGGTTTTAAATACATTATCTTTAATTTTCACAACAACCCTGCAAGGTGGGTGGTGTACTATTTTTAAGCTCAACTACACTAAACAAGAAGTGAATAGGCAGTAAAATGGGGTTTCATTGTTGGACATACCTGGTCTCAACCCCTTGCTCTTTCATTTGCTAGTAGTGTGAACATGGACCAAAAAACTACCATTTAGGGCTTCATTTTCTTCACTGAGTTGTTATTTAATAATGGTAATAATCATAGAATTATATTTATTGAGCTCTTATGTGCCAAGCACCATTGTAAGTGCTTTACATATACTCTTTTATTCCTCATAACAACCCAGTGGGGTAGAAAAAGAAATTGAGGGGCCAGGTGCAGTGGCTTACGCTTGTAATCCCAGCACTTTAGGAGGCCAAGGCAGACGGATAACTTGAGCCCAGGAGTTCAAGACCAGCCTGTGCAACACAGTGAGACCCCCCATCTCTATTTTTAAAATAAAATATATATACATATATATATATATATATATGTTTTTAAAATTTAAAAAAAGAGGCCGGGTGCGGTGGCTCACACCTATAATCCCAGCACTTTGGGAGGCAGAGGCGGGTGGATCACCTGAGGTCAGGAGTTCGAGACTAGCCTGGCCAACGTGGTGAAACCACATCTGTACTAAAAATGCAAAAAAAATTAGCCAGGCATGGTAGCAGGTGCCAGTAATCCCAGCTACTCCGGAGGCTGAGGCAGAGAATCACTTGAACGTGGGAGGTAGAGGTTGCAGTGAGTCAAGATTGTACCATTGCACTCTAGCCTGGATGACAAGAGCAAGACTCCGTCTCAAAAAATAAAAATAGAAACGAGCACAGAGAGGTTAAATAATTTGCGTGAGGTCGAGCTAAAGCTTGGTAAGTGGTTAATGTCATGGTATTTTGTCTTGCTCTTTCTGAGGCCTCTTAATCACAATTGTTTTTTTTTTTTTTGAACAAAGTCTTGCTTGGGTTGCCCAGCGCTAGAGGTGTGGGACCAATTCTTGGCCCCACCGCTAGACCTCTACTTCCCAGTTCAGGCAACTTCTCCGCCTCAGCCTCCCGTGATGTAGCTGGGGTATACAGGCATGCTACCCACCTGACACCCAGCGGTAATTTTTGTATTTTTGAGTTAGGAGACAGGGTTTCACATGCTGGCCAGTTGGTCTCGATACTCTTTATCTCAGAGTGATTCCACCCAGCCTCTAGCCTTCCCATTGAGTTGCTGGGATTACAAGAATGAGCCACCTATACCTCGGCCTAATCAC